CCCCCAGCAGACCAGGGAGATGCGGAGCAGCTTTTCTCAGCAGACACCTCAGTTTGAGAATAATACCCTGAGGGAAGTGAGGTGTGGGAGAATAAAACTGAGCTCTGGAGAAATGTTTGGCTAGAGTTTCCCCTACAATATGTACCAGTTCCGACTTACATACAAATTCAACTTAAGAACAAACCTACAGTCCCTATTTTGTACGTAACCCGGGGACTGCCTGTAATGAGTACAGTGAAAATGTCCACTTTCTTTTCTTTTCATATTTCACTTAAGAGGTAGAAATACAAATATTACAAATAGCATTGTTTTAAAAATGCAGATCTTTTTTTAATTAGCAGTTCTGTTCAAATGAAATGTTTAAAGATTTGTTTTTGGACTAAGATTTGAACTTTTGGTGTGTCTCTCACTTTGTAATGGTTAGATCCTGGCAAATATAGGGAATTATTAAAAATGCCTGAGTAATTTCTGAGCATAGCATATAGAATGTTCTTAAATATAGATGATTTTGTACTAGTAAAATCTATCCCAGCAGAATATTTGTGTTGCCAGATTGATTCTTCCATTATAGCTTTGCACTTGATCATCCCTAAGGAATCATTGTTTCTAGTTTGATCTTTGATACACACATGCCCATCTTGTACAATGCTCATCTCTCTGAGTCTGAATCAGATCTTAAAAATGCTCATAATTTAAATATTGAGTGTTCAGCATATGCCAATGTGAAAAAAACTTATCTTGCTGAATAACACTTGTAGTTAATCTGTGAGGTGCGTGAAAGGATCTAAAACTGGAGTAATATATTAACAACTATATAACTACAGCTGACATGAAAGGAAGCTTTTATACAAGAAGGTAGTTTGGCCTTGAATTAATTCAACTTAAGGCATCCTGCTTCTGCAAGGAGCTCCCTATAGACAGATTCTTGCATGTGTAAAGATTAGGGATGTGAAGGACTAGTCAACTATCCAATAAGCAAATGCTTTATCAGACAGTTGACAGAGGCAGCAAGGTGGGACCTGGGGCCAGCTGGTGTATACCCAAGCTGCACATTTCAAAGGTGGGGGGCGAGGGGATGAGGAAGACTTCTGATTCTATGTAGCTGATCTGTTACTGTATAATTTGTTTACTTCTTGAGATCATATTCTGAAAGTGAATTGGCATGACCATTCTATAACAGAGGGATACAATGAAGAAGTGGGTCTGCCCCACAAAACCTTATCACCTAATAAACCATCTTACAACTACCGAAGACTTACATTTAGAGTCACTCACTTGAAAAAAATGAACCACAAAGATAGGACATCAATATTGTTCTTTTTCATTCTCTCCATCTCCTTCTGGTTGTCTTTCTCCATTTTCCTTTTTGAGTGTCTCTTCTCTTTCCTCTCCTTCCCCCCACCTCTTTTGGCACTATAACCCCCATATATATCAATTGATCAGTTAGGGATGTTAAACCAGTTAACCGTTTTAACCGAGGTTCCACTGCCTGGCCCACTGCCTATTCCTATCATGGTTGCCTGATGCAGCCAGCTGCTGCTGGAGTTAACTGGCGAGTTATATCTTTCCTGATATGATGTTGCTGGAGTTGATGTTCTCCTTCTACAAGGAAGTAGAAATGCTTTAGATGTGGAAGACAACAGAGGAAGTTGACTAACATTCTAGTCAGTTTCTCTTATCACTTCTTCCATTTATAAAGTACTTCACAGAGGGACAGATGGCGCTTCTATCAAACTCTTTAAACTAAGAAGCTGTTGGAAAAAAACTGACTTGTTTACAACTGATCACCAACTTCAGCTTGTAGTCTTGCCACTGGAGATTCAGTGATAAGTGTGCCAGGGGTGGGGAATACTCTTATCTAGGTTGCATTTTTCTTCTCACACAGCTACCAGCCTTTTTTTCTTCCAGATTTAAATTGGTTTTCTTCCATCTGTGCTGTGAAGTGGAGAGTTGAGAGGCTTTTTAATATTGGGGATTGATTAGAATCTTCATGAAATGCTTACAAAATGTACCTGAAATGCTGATGGCAAAAACAATGCCATTTATACATTTATTTGATAGAATTGAAATAGAGCTGATCTACAGCTATATAATGCTATTGTTGATATGTGTACAGTTTGGGGGCAGGATTATTTCTTGTGCAACATTTTCTTTCTTTCTTTTAAACCTAGCGGTATTTTCTTGTTGGGAGTAATCATGCAGAGACCAAGTATCGTGTTTTGAAAATCGACCGCACTGAACCGACAGATTTAGTTATAATAGATGATAAGGTAAGTATTCAATTAACTACATGGTTAAATACTCAGTGGGCTGCCAGACCTGTGGGCCCCCAGCGGTGGCCATGTTAACAAATGAATGCTTATCAGTTAACTGTTTGATTGGTTACACTCTAACATCCCTAATTTCAAGGTACTTGGAATTTCACATTGTATGATTTGTTTTCTGCATAGATGGTAGATAGCCAAACTTTTCTCTAGTAGCAGGATGATGCATTTCTATTATACTTTTATGTCACTCAGTTTAGCTGTGATCTCCTAATGTCAAATAATAGATGTGAGTTTTGTCTTATGTTCATATATGTCATCAATGAAAGGATATGAGTGATCATAGGTTTTGCTACAGATGAAACAAATTAGGATAGGAAAATTATTAAATTATAAGATAGAATTGTTTAGTTCATTTGAATAAGACACAAACATTGATTAACTTAATAAAAAGTGTATTTATTATTAAGTGTCCAATTTTTTATTTGAAAGAAAATGTAAAGAATAATTTAAAACAATCATTGTGGTAGACTAGATGCTATCTATCTTATAGACTGCTTGATCTTGGAGACAAGCTTGATAGTGCCAATCAATTCACAAAATACAATTTTGTTTTGTAATCTTGGCCATATATGTTAAGAAATTGAGAGCCAATAAACAATAGAAGTCTCTTTATTCACTTTTCAGAACAATTTTGCAATTAAATAAACTCCACTATTCTGAAATATCAAGTAGCACTGATAACCAAAAAGAATAAGTTCACTATGCATTTCTGTTTTCAGCATGTGTACACACAACAAGAGGTGAGAGAACTTCTTGGCCGCCTAGATCTGGGGAATAGAACAAAGATTGGACAGAAGGGTTCTTCTGGATTATCTAGAGCTGTCTCTGCTTTCGGGGTAGTAGGTAATCCCCTTGTTATTTCTTTGGCCTTTAAAAAGAAATTATAACTTGGAGCAGAAATGGTAATTGCAGTATTTGATACCAGTCAGAATATTATTCATTGTGCAAAGAGATCATGGAGTAAAGTAACATTAACAAAGTACACTTTTTATAACAACTTTCTAGGTATTGCTTATGTCACACTTAAACAAGTATGAGCAATCAGTAGGAGAACTGGGTTTAAATGTCAATTCCATATGTCACTCAATTTCAACAGGATAAACTTAAAAAACAGCAAATAGTGTAGTAGCACTTTAAAGATTAACAAAACATGTAGATGGTATCATGAGCTTTCGTGGGAACAGTCCACTACTTCAGATGACTGGAGTGTTGAAAGTCCAGAACCAAAAATAAGTAAGCGAAGAAGGGAGGGGGGAGAAGGAAAAAAAATTGAAGGGCGAAGAAAAAAATAGTTAGTAGATAAGCTTCAGAAGGATAACCCAGTGAGTCTGTAACAGGAAAAAAACTTTAAAAAATAACAATTAGTCTAGTAGAATCTCAAAGACTAAATAGTTAAGAGGCTGATAAGAACCATTAGTTAGCACTTGGAAAAGAAGATGACCAATACAAGATTCTGCACAGACATCAAGAACCATTAGCACCTTCATTGTTTGGTTGATAATATGCGAACCATCTGATATAGTAATTGTTTGAATCAGGATAAGAATTAAACTTGTGAATGATGTTAAACTCCAGTCCTTCTCTGTGTATTTGGTTTGTGGAATTGGTCTGAAACAAAACCAATTCCACAAGCCAAATACACAGAGAAGGACTAGAGTTTAACTTCATTCACAAAGTTTAATTCTTATACTAATGGTTTGAATTATATCATCAGATGGCTCCCACATTATCAACCAACCAAACAATTGAAGGTGCTATTTCAGCTCTCTTTGTTAAATGGGTTGGCCACCTCTGCTGTAGGAGAACTCAGATTGAATCTCAGGAAGTGCCAAGGATCAGCTCTGTCTTCCTACTACACTCCGTTATGGGATGCCTACCCAAATTGCTTTGCTCTATCTATCAACAGGGGAGCTAGCAATATGGTCATGAAATGTTGACTATGGGAGGCAGAAAAAACAGTTTGACCAGTTTTTAATTTTGCGTGTTGACAGAAGTTTTGTAGCCAAACTTTCCCAGTGTTGATGTAGCCTGAGTGTTTTGTAGGCTTTGTCTACAATGCCTAGTTTAAATCACTGCTACAATAGCACTTTAATGCGGCAGTGTGATCACGGCACAAATGTTAGAAGAGAGTTTTCCCATTACTCTACTTAAACCACCTCCACAAGGTGCTAACCGCTCTGGGAGCCTGTTTATACATGTGCTTTATAGTGCTTTAGTTTGCTGCCTCCAGGGGAGAGAATTTTTTCATACCTCTGAGTGAGAAAGTTACAGAGTAGTAAAATGGCAGTGTAGACGAGCTATCACAGTAGGGCTGGCTCTAGGCACCAGCAAACCAAGTACGTGCTTGGGGTGGCATATTGCCAGGGGCGGCATTCTGGCTGCCCCTTAGAGACACTGGCTGGGGCACCC